GCATGCTGGCTGGAGAATTCTGGGAGTTGAAGTCCACACATCTTAAAGTTGCCAAGGTTGAAAAACAGTGGTCTAGTTGAGAGACCTGTGTTTGCTTAATGGGATTATTATTTTTTTCTCATCCCACCAATACAAAGAAAGCAGAGGAAGATATCCAAGTGTGGAAGAAGCAGGAAGCAGCTGCCAAAGAGGAAGAGTCTGTTTCCCCTGGCAAAGAGGAGCAGGCAGTATCCAAGGTATGGGTTAAGATGTCCTCATCCTTTCCTAGAGTTCCAAAATCCACCCTAGATCCTGTTCTATAAGTGGATTTCACATCAGCATCCAAATCTAATTTGAAGTGGGGTAATCTTTCTAATTCACAACTTTCCTCATAGCAGTGACTATTGGGAAGATTCCATTCTTACAAATGAGAGCTTTTTCAAAATTGGCCTAATGAACCCAGGGTTGACAAATGGAGGCAATAGGTTACATGCCTGTGAGCTTCTGATTTTCCTTCCCTATTTTAAAATATATCTTTTGTCACCAGGGAGCTGTAAATCAGGGGAAGTATCTAGATTGTATGTTGTGATGACAATCATCACACATATAAGTCATCTGCCGTCTTTATTGACATTGGCTAGGATCAGTGTGAATGCGTTAATTTGCTAATGAACCATTAACACATGCTACAGCTAACCATGACTGTTTGGCACTCTGCTTATCTTCATAATACATGAGTCTGTACATACAAAGTTTTCATTATAGTGATTAGCAAGTGGTATCCTGGAGCCATAGAAGTCATAGGAATAAATGGAGGAATTGGTGGCAGGAGGTATTTTGCAATCTGTTACTACGTGGAGTGTGGCATAGGCTTTTAAGAAAAACAAGCTGCTAATTAGGGTTTTATCTATTTTAATTATTAGTTTATAGTGGCGTGTTCTCTTGACTCATATTTGTCATCTTAAAAAAAAGTTAAATATTTATATATGTATGCATGTAAATATATATGTGTGTATGAGGATAGACTAAATTAAAACAGCCACAACAGCTAATAAAATAAGGAACAATATATTCTTTTTATTTTTATTGATTTTATCATAATTTCTTTGATTGTTGTGAGCTGCCCAGTTGTTGAGAGTTGGGCGGTATACAAGTTTAATAAATTATAGTTAGCCACACAGTCAGCCAGATGTTTAGACTGGATTTGGCATTTTTATCCGCCTATCAAGTCCTTCCCAAGGACCTGGGATAGGCAGATGTTGTTGTCTGATGGTGTTAAAGGTATTGTCACAGAA